TTGTTACTACTAGTAAGGCACTTGTTTCTACTAGCGATGCACTTGTTTCTACATGGAAGCGCTTTAAAGAACGATGAAAATGCGTCCTCCACAGTTCGGTCATGTCCACGACACTGGCCCCAGTGCCGTGCGTTCGCGTCTTCGTCCGGGGCCCAGACCCAAGTAGCCGCAACTTGATAACTCCGTTCCCGTCGCTTTTGCGCTTCCTTCGGAGGTGGGCTGTACCCCAGGAACTGCAAGTCGCGGGCATGTGTTTTGCGATGCTTTCCTCACTGACGGCAAGCATTGTCACAATAAGTTAAATGGGCCAAACCATTGGGCCTCGTTCCCTCAACCATTGGGGTGAAACCGCTCTGACATACGAATGGCAAGCAGTAGCCTCTCGAGGACCTCTGAAATGGCTTTCAGTAAATCCGTTCGTCTAAGTCTAAGTGGATGCACCCAAACCACTGATCATTGGGCCTTTGGAGCGGGAGATGAACATGCAGTGATACAAAATGCAAGGACAGCAAGGTTCACAACACTTGGGCAGTATGCAGCCCCAACAAGTAACCCACTAAAACAACGCCAAATCAGTCTCACTCCACTTGAAGGCATGGACCGCATGGTCGGAGGTCCCTTCGTTCCCATCCGCAAACTTGCGGTGCTAAATGCAGATGCTGTCTTCAGTCTTCTAACCTTTTTACTTGATATGTTCCCATGAGATCATCTTGGGGTCGTTTGGTGGCCTGCGAGGCAAAATCACTCACAAAGCACCAACTGAAACCACTGATGTGGGATTCCGCAACTTTGATCGTCTTCCCAGAACCTGTCAGAAAACACATAGAGAATCCTCCCTCTCCAAAACCAGGCATGTTTCCGGTAGGGTAGGGTCTAGATGGTATGCAAATGATTAGTCTCTGGGCAGCCGACTGCTCGACGGTGTGCCACCTCCGGACAACGACGGAGCAGCAGACCAGGCGCCACTAGTTTCTCATCCAATGGAGTGGTGCTAGCATAGAAAGTCAATCAGTTTTGGAGTTTGATATCACAACTCTGCCCGCTCCGAGAATCCAAAACTGATCCCCCAACCGGTCACCTGGCTTCCTAACAATCATCCAAAAACGTCGAAGAAGGTCTGAGTGCTGTATAAAGGATCATGTTTTTGCCTGTAGACCCAGGGCCGCACATTGATCTCCAAAGGTCCGTCACTTCCAATGAAGCCTTGCTCCGTTCGTAGCTTCTTGTTCCTAGTAGGGCTCTCCTAGTAGCAAGATACTAGTTTCTTGCTACTAGTAGTAGTGCCAGGAGCCCCTAGTAGCTTCTTGTTCCTAGTAGTATGGCCTCAACTTTATATGTTATCTCAACATGTCTTGAAAACGCGGAGTCCACCAAAGCGCGCCTCCTCTTCCACCGACAGCTTCGGCGCTTTGCTCACCTGTTGGGCGGAGTTGTCGTGTGGCAGGTGGCTCTGGTTCGCAGTCGGTCCATGTTGATGAACGAGTGGGTAACAGAACACGCGGTAGATACTCATCCACATGATGTATCCCTTTGATTCATACCAGTAGAGAAGGGGATTCTCATGGTGACTCTTAATGATGCCAGGCTGTGGGTTAAGAGCTGTGTCGTTCTTTTGTTCAGGCGTGACCATTTTTCATCATAAACTAGCCCCGGCCCTGCACAAAACATAACAACGATGGTGACAAAAACTAACAAGGAGCTTGAGTTTGCAGAAATTGAGGTGCGCAGGATGCACTTTGTTGCCGACACTTCCGTGCTGGTGCTGGGTGTTTTGCTCCCACTCATTCCCACTCATTAATTCCCAACAATTCTGCTGACTGCCCTGGTCCAAGCCCTGCGGTCCGGCCCAAGCCATCCCACCAGCCGCCCCCAACCCATCAACCCAAGTCCTGCACAGATGTCTCAGCAGCCTCCAGGAACAAATGCCCCAACAGGTCGGGCCATTGGGAGTAGCTTGGGGGTTGGGCTACTAGCCAGGGAATGGAAACATCCCGAGCTGTGAAGTAGTCTTCACCCTGGACTAGGTAGAAGACAGAAATCGTCCATTAAAGGAAATGCAGTGAGTGTCAAAACTTTGCTGGCTGCTCCCGAGGGACTAATATGGATTACATAATAGAAACGTGTGGCATCTTGTAGTAAGCCTTGATTAAAATCACTCGACAAATGAAAGAACCAATGTTCAAACAACATCCGGATCCAAGCAAGAGCATCATGGGCCATAAGTCATCTGAGATGTTCCGGTTCCCAGCTTGATGATACACAACCGCCAATGTCCCAAAGGCTCCATGGACATCAAAAACATAATGAGAAACGTCTCAGTAATAATGGAGCATCATGCACAATCAAAATCTCTAGATTCTTGGACACTCATGTTGACAACCTGAGTCCACCAGCAAAACTCATGTGAAAAACATGGAACTGTTGAACACCCACGCCTGCGGTGCCAGGATCGACATCGCCGGTTGCGCTGCGGCTTGCGTCGCCGCCGGCCGGTCGACCTTCGCCAGCTGCTCACTCCAGCGTGCCGGCGCACGGGCCTTGGCCTTTGGCTGGAGTGGCCTGAGAGAGATGCAATCTGTTGCAAGGACGTTCGCCCCCAGTTCAGTGATCGATGGATTTTGAGAACCCTAAATCGGTGTACTCAATTTTATAGATGAAGAGCTAAGTTCTTTCTCATGTTGCCTACCGAAAGCCTACAGATCGAATGCTACTTTCTGCTGCTAGCTCCCCTTCGTTCATCCATCGGCTTCCGGGCACAGGCAGCACCGCAGATTTCATGAGGTTCTGCGGGATGTCCCCGCCCATCTCCAGCGCCGAATGAAGCTTGAAGCCTCAGAAACTGGTGAGCGTCGGGTCGGTGCATGGGGAACTCGGTCTACCAGTGGTTTTGCTGGAAATGGCACTGTCTCCAATCAGATGGCTCATTTGGATCTCTGTTCGTCATGAAATGGTCTGTGGACGTTTGCCATCAGGAAACGGAGACATTGGAAACATTGGGGTTGGTCAACTGAAGACATGCAGCCTCTGAGTGCAACTGGGATTTCTGCCCCCAACAACCAGGCAAGACGTGAGTGTTACAGTTCTTCAGCCAGTCCCATAGGATCAATGAAAAAGCACTGAAAAGCTATAGTAGTGACATTCACCAACCAACCTTCCAATCTATAAGAAATGAGCTGGGCCAAATTCATATTATATGATTTCCCATGTCGTATAACGTGCCTTGCTCGTCAATGTTTTCAGATGAGTTCCCCACAACACCGGCCTTCTTCACTTCCTGGGCCCTCCGCACGGCGGGCGGCGCGCACGTTCTGCTGCTCGTCCGACAGGTTCAGCTCCAAACCGCTGGACATGGAGGCAATCGATGGCAAGCCTGGTGAGGCGTGAGGGACAAGGCAACGGTCATTTTTCGAACCAAGGCAAGAGGGAAGTCAATACCATCCACTAAGCTGCTGATGTTCTGATGGCATCCCTTTTAGGGGCAAGAAACTACCGATGCTGAACTCTGATCACAAGACCAGGCTTATCCAAACAGTCCAGCTCTCCAAAGGCACGGCTTGGCCAGGACCCCCCCCAAAAAAAAAAGCATGTGTTCTTGCTAAGATGCATGTTCCGCAATGAACCATGCAATAGGTTGTGGAAGCATAACACTGCCGCGGACATCTTGAGGAAACCAAATATACTGTAATTATCACAGAAATCTGTCAATCAATCAATGTTCCTGCGCATATCCTCTCCAAGTTTGACAGGGTTATGAAGTGGAAAAGTTCGCTAAAGTCATTAATCCCACCGCCATACTTATATACAGTTCAGTTCTCCTTCCAGCCTTGCAGTTCTCCTGACAGCCTTGCTTGTCAGTAGAGCCGGGGCTTGCCCACCTACAAGCCCCCCACGAGCCCCCTGCAGTCGCCTGTCTTGCCCTTTACCATGATATGCGTGAGCACCACGCCCTTGTCCTTAGAATCTTTCGACATACAGGTGAAGCGGAGTGCAGCGTGGTTGCGAGGCCAACCACTGCCTAACGCTTTGCACCATTTTGGCTTTGAGGACCCGGGCCATGTCCCTCGCCTCCTGCGCGCGCTCATAGGTCCTGGGGATCAAGCGCAACCGTCCCAATTCCTGACATGGACTACCGGGCTCCCAAAAGTCTCAATAAGCATAATAAGCTGGGTCCTGTACGTGCCGAAAGGTGGGAGAAACCAGAAATCCGATCACAAAGAAGTATTTACAAACTGACTACAGCAGTTGGTGCATGTGGCGGAATCAAAGGCCCTATCAATATGACCACCGGCTGAGGGACCGGAAACGCCACTCTGAGCGCTGGACGCCAGGAGCCTCGGGATCCTCGGCGACACCGCGGCTCACGTGGAGGTGTTGGTTTTGAGACTGTCTGAGACCGTCTTTTTTCATCTTTTCTCCAGCAGCCACAAGCCATATGGCTAGTGGTGGGGGCGCCCTTTCAAGAAAAATCCTTCAAATCAAGTGCAACGTCCACCAACCACAAGTAGAGAGAGAGAGGGAGATTTAAAAAAGAATTGATCCCACTGGACGTCCAATGCCGTGCTCAAGGGGATTCATGATTCATTGGCGAGTTGGCGTGTTTCCTCTATTCAGGGCTCGGGGCTCATTAGACTTCACAAATGTTTGATACTCAAACCAATCAACCGCCTGGGCCACCGGTCGGCAAGTTGGCATCCCGCGCCGCCCACATGGTGATGGCCTCAATTGATGAGGTGTTACTGGTGCCCATTGAAGTTAATACATTTTGCATGTGGGATACTAAACCACCATGGAACGCCGATTTGCAAAAGTCAGTACTTAAGTCAAGACTGCTGGCCTTCCCCATTGTAAACGCTACTTGAGGCCAAGGGGGGGGGCGAAAGCTAGCGCTCCAGAATGGGAAAGTGGAGGGCAGCGAGGTAGGAAAAAACACGGCGCTCTTTTTGTAGGCAGGGGTGAAGAGTCCTTTATATGTGGCTCTTTGCCCGGATCCTCCTGCGAGAGAAGAGAGAGAAGAGAGACGGAAAGACGAGAGACAGAGAGGAGAGGGAGAGAGAGAGAGAGAGGAGAGAGAGATGAGAGAGATGAGAAAGAGATGAGAGAGATGAGAGAGATGAGAGAGACAGTGAGACAGTGAGACAGTGAGAGAGTGAGAGTGAGAGTGAGCGAGTGCGGCCGCAAGATACGCAACGCTAACCGCATGCCAAAGAGCGACGACAGGACGGAGTCGAACTTGCGAAGAGGGAGGAGGGAGGAGGGAGGGAGGGAAGATGGGAGGAAGACAAGGAGGAGGAGAGGGGGGGGGGTGGGGAGAGGGGAGGGGGGGGGGGGGGGGGGGGGGGTCTTCGACCTGAAAAATCGGGGGTTAGGATTTGCACCCGGTCGAAAGAAACCTTGCTATCGCAAGAGTAACTCCAGCTAGCTTCGCTAGCTTTCGTGACATACAGAACAAGGTTCTCCAGATTCGCCTTTCCAAAAAGAGAAAACTTCAACTGCAAATCCCAATGGCAACGCAATTTGGAGAGCTACCCGACGTGGTAACTTACTCCATCGCACATGAACTTGACCCACCCGCATGGCACACCGCTTACCCCACGAATGTAAGAACTTACCCCATTTGGACAAAATGACACACCGCTTCGAAACAAGCACTTTTTCTCTTAGATTGTTTCTAAACCTACACTATTCCATTGCGATTCAACCTTCTACATGTTGATGTTTTCAAGAGTTATCTATGGGTTGCCGTGATCCAATCCCCATGGCACCCCGATTTTGACCCACATGTTGGTACCAGCTTCAAGTTTCTACCTGGAGTGCAAACAGCATGGAATTGTTCTTTAAACGTCAAAAATATCTATGCATTCTTGTGTGTATTCCTCTCCCAATCCCCATGGCACACCGCTTCGAAACAAGCACTTTTTCTCCTAGCCTAGATTGTTTCTAAACCCTGCAAATCGCTCCCTGCCTGGGGGGCCATGTAAATTGAAGAGGCCTTTGCTGATATACACATATGTGTTGTGACAATGGCAATCCCCATCGCACACCTCTGGAGGTCCTGGTGCCTGGTGGGTTGGGCGAGATAGAGGGCGAGATGTGGGCGAGGTATTGGGCGAGATGAACACGTTTGCCCAGAAGACCCATGCCCACTAACACCCAAACACAAAGTCCTTGCAATGCAGCTGTGGCAACCAATCAAAAGCTGGGACACCATCATAGGGCGTGCAAGACAATGACAGGCAGCAAGTGAGTAGGCCTTGTAGCCCAGGCCGCAGCAGCCGCAGCGACAAGCAGCAGCAAGCAGCAAGCAGCAGCACCAGCAGCAACCAAGCAGCAAGTAGCAGCACCGGCAGCAATCAGCCAGCAGCAGCAGCCAACCAGCAGCAAATCAACAGCAGCCAACCGCCAGCAGTAGCCAACCAGCAGCAGCAAGGCAGCAGCAGCAGAAAACCAGCAGCAGACCGGCAGCACCAGCGAAGGTAGCCCAATCAAGCTTTCCCCCAAGGGCACACCTCATCTGGCACAAGTTCATGCCCCTCAATAGTGTGCCCGCTTCACAGCGGAAGCCAGGTTTCCATGAGGACCCTGCTTCCGAGGGTTGGCCCTATAAGCCCTTGGAGGGTTGGAGATATGAGACCCACAATCCCAAGATGAAAGGGAACCTATGGGCTGCCTATAGAAACCTCTAGAAACAACCTATGGGTTGCCTGCCAACTTCCTTGCGGTAGGTCTTGTGCAATCAAAACACTGTGAACGCTGAGTAAAACAAGCCCATTGAATAAAACCATGCATTTAGAAAACATCTTCCAACACACTCTACCCTGCAAGGAAACGCTATAGTGTATCGACTTCCTGGTTTGCTCATCACCTTCTATCTGCTATTTGAAAAAAACATGTCTCGACTTCAACAACTGGCAGTAGCTGTTACAAAGGAGCACTGCAAGCCCGACGGGGTGGAACAAATCCATTGGGTGGGGAATGGTGGGGACAGGTATGGACAGATCTTCAATGTCTGTCATGGTAAAACTTAAAAACATGTTTGGAAAGGATGCGGAACGGAAACGACTTCGTATTCTGTTTAAACGGTTTTTTGTGGATTGAGGACTCACAAGGGGGAACGCGTTCCTTGGATTATACGATGTCCAGTTTGCTGATTCACTGGTCGCAGGGTGGGCTTGCTTGGGTCGGTGCTCCCATTGCTTTAGGTCTGGCGAAACTATTGTAGCTGATCCTGTTGTTGAACCCTACGAATTAATTAGCGTCTCTTGACAGAGGTGGGGTTGGTACTCATGCGGGTTCATGCAATGCCACCCTGCCTTCCCCCAGCGATCAGGCGATCAGCAGGGTTGTCGATGGCTCTCATAGCTGTCTTCACATTTATCCCCCAAAAAAGGTGAATTACTGTAGGTCCAACTTGTTTTTTTGGATAGCTTTACATTGACATGTTCCCTGTGTTTATTCCGGCGTTTCTTCCTCTTGCTTGCTTTCAGCTTTCGGCACCCGGCCTTCACGTGCATCAGAATCAGCCGCACCGTCTGCTTGGTGAGGACCTGATATGAAGGGGCTTCAACAAGAATACAAGACAAGGGTCTCAGGAATCGAAACATGAAACATAACCTAATAGAGATGGCCCCCAACCTACTAACAATGGCCTCCAACCTACCAGCAATGGCCTCCAACCTACTACAGTAGCAATGCTCCAACCTACCAGCGATGGCCTCCAACCTACTACAGTAGCAATCCTCCAACCTACCAGCGATGGCCTCCAAACTACGACAGTAGCAATGCTCCAACCTACCAGCGATGGTGCAAAAGATGGTAAAAGCTTAGCCGTTGTCATGTGGTTCTCATCTCAACGATCGATCAAACAGGGGGGCTCAAAGGCGCCTAATTAGACATTCCACCGAAGTTGAAGAGATGAAGGGCTGAAGCGTCGCTGGAAATGCATTGAAACACTTTGAAACACAGTACAGTCACGCTAGTAGTAACAGGTGCCTTACTAGTAGTAACAATGTTTGCTATTAGGAACAAGTGCCTTACTAGTAGTAACAAGTGCCACGCTAGTAGTAACAGGTCCCTTACTAGTAGAAAAATCTTCGATCACTCCATCTCACACCCACGTCGACCGGTCGATTTGGTCTCCCTCGCCGTCGTGTTGAAGACCCCATCGAGCCGGAAGATCTGTCCATTCCTAGCATCGCACGGCGGCCGTGAGGGAGCGTGAGGGAGCTGCGCCCGCCGCTTGGGCTGCTGCGACGCGCCCAAGGACTTGGGAGATGTGGTCGTCTCCAAGTCGATTTAGCCCAACAATCTTGCAGGTCTTGCTATCTCTGGATGCTAACGAGGTCTACCTCACCATGTAGTGCAAGGTCGTTTCCCTGGATTCGGCCGGAAGATGGAACCCAGTGAAGAGCACATAAGAGCAATGGCAGCAAACTCCATGATTGCTTGTTCTGTTCAAAGTCTTTGAGACAAAAATCATATCAGAACTCCAGAAGTGTGGGGGTCACCCTGGTCACCCTGAGAGGTTTCTCACGGCTCTTCCCACTGTGCTGGCTGTCTAAGCCCGAACTGCTTGTACACAGCAAAGCCTCTAAGGAGAGTGAACTTCTGATTGCTATGTTCAAATCTTGTTGAGCTTAAAATATGAATGGTATCGAAGGTCTGTGGCCAAGCGATCAGGACGACATTGTCCCACCCCTTCATCCCCTTCATGTAATTATATAAGTTCTACAGGCTCCGGCCATCGCCACATCAGTTCAGTCAGCTAAGTCAAGTCGAAGGATGCCACTCACTCTCGCAGCCTCCAAATAAGAGACCCTCCAAGCAGACTCCCCTGTTCGGAAAAAAACAGATGCGCCACCAAACTCCAATCGCGCTACTCGCTCTCCTGGTGTTGGCGAAAAGGAAAAGGTCCAAGACGCCCTTCAGGCCGACCCTCAGCTGAATGACTTGGCAGCCTTTGAGAGGTCTTGGTTTGCGCCAGCGGGGGGCGTGGGTTTTGTTCTACCTAGTATCCGAAAATTGCGCCAGCGCTGAGCCCCTTCAAACTGAGGGCGCCTTGTAAATATGAGTCGCGGCGCTTTGTTCCAATCTTCACAGCAGCGAGTAAATATTAAACAAGTCTGTCACAGTCTGTCATCCTTAGCTAGTACTCACGGCACCGCCTTGTTCATACCTTGGGCCATTTCGTCTCCGGCTACTGCTCATGGGCACTGTCCCACCTCCAACGACTGAGAAACATGGTCTACAAGATCCAGGGCCTCTCTTCGGATCATCTCCGTTCACCCCCCGTGGGGCTGTGTCCAAACATTGGGCCCACGGGCTCTTCACTGTCGTCGTCTCGCGGGACGACATCAACCATGGACCTCGAAAAAGCCCAAGCGGGGCGAGACGCACGGGTCGTGACCCATGACATAGCGAGGTGAAGCACTGGGTCACAGGGTCCAATCTTGTGTTGTTCATTTTCTAAGACCTACCCTATCCGAATCACCCTGCCGACGATCTTGGGGCTCGCAGAAGAACCTGGGAACATCTGGAAACCACGGTCACATGTCGTCGCGTTGCAAATCGCTGTGGGGTCAGCGAGGTCTTGCCCCAAATCCAGGGCTTTGCAATTCTTCGGTCCAACGTGGATGTGAACTACGTCTATCCCCAACCACAAGAAACAGCAAACCCGCGAATAGAGGAAATGGCCAGCCGTTCACGGCTCTCCGCAGGCTGTGGATTAATCTCGGGTTCACTTTGAATGCAGGGCTTGCCTCGCAACAAATTAAGACCCTGGAGACCCGTGGGTTCTCAAAGGCTCCAAGGTCGCAGTTCAGGAGATCTTTCACATCCTTTGAACATCAAAACGTGGAGGAGGTTTGATTCATCAATTAGGCCACGTTCAGGAGTGAACGGAGTGGGTGAGAACGGAGCATCAGTCCCCTTCGGCTCAGATGGATCCATCAGGTCTGATGTCTGAAAAACGCCCAGCGGCTGATACACCGGGTTCCTGCCACGGGTTCCGTGTGGCAGCGCGCCCTTTGGGTGGGATTCGGAAAAGGTAATGCAAAAATACACTTGAAGTGTGTATTATAGATATGCGCTTGATCGATTGGGTTTCTTCATCTGGTCCTATAATCCTATATAACTATGACAGCACCCTCTGATTGGACCACGACCAAACAGCAACCAGCTGAGGTCGGCAACAGCCCTCCCTTGTTGATGTTCCTTACTTTGGCTTCCCCATCCACTCCAACCGCTCTCCCACTCAGTGTCACTTGACAAGCACCAACCTCTTGCTTAGCCTATCTCGCTCCTACCTCCGTGTCCCCGTGCAGGACGTGCATGGAGGTGCGAGTGCAAACACCAAAACACTGCAAGACACTCTCCTGGAAGGGTCAGTAGTAGGATAGTGCGGCTGTGTCTCATTCACCTTGGCACACGTTTGTGTCACGCCAGCGGCTCGAGCATGCAGAACAACCGCTCGGACACTCGGGGTGCCAGTCGGGACGGCTCAGGAGCTCTCTGCTCGGCATGAGCCTTTGGTGCGAAGCTGAGACACCTGCGGGCACCTGCGGGCACCAGGCACCTCGAGAAACCTTGTTTCAGCCCCAGAAAGTGTTCTGAAGCCTCGTGGTTCCAGTTTCCGCTGGCGCGGGTTCCCGTGTACATATTTAAAAACATAACCATGCCCGAAACTCCTAAATATGGTTTATATTAGTTAAATGTTAACTTTTAAAACCGCTACACTACAAACATGGCCGATTTGTGTGGATGTGTTTGGATTAAAATTAGGTTCGAAAAACAACCCTACCATACCCTACTTGTCTACATTTGTTTACACCACCATGCTTTCCTTCCCCCAATGGCACACCGAGGCGGCGAAAACCGCATGGCGCAGCGACATCACCGTGATCGAAAGCTTGAGCTATTAGTCTAATGAAGAACCACTATTTTTATAAAGGGTGTTTGCAAAGGAAAAGGGAAAACCTTCGATCTGGAGGATGTTAAATTCTTCATACGAGTTTACATAATTAATATGATTTTATATAAATATATCAACCTTTCCTAGGCGACTTTTCGGCTTTGAAGCTCTTCCCAGGTTTCCATCTTTGCGGGCCCCCCAATTCAGGGACCCCTTTTTAAAAAATTGCACCCGAGTGTTTGTTATTAGGCGGGGCCGTGTGTTTTAATAGGTGGAAGGGATTAAACGCCCTCAAACCAACATTGAGTAGGCAGAAGCTTACTTGCAAAGAAAGTTGCCTTGATCCAATGGGGCGAGGATCCACCTCCGCTTTTAAAGAGTGTGCCTTGGTGCACGGCCACCTGCGCACAGCACAATCACCAGGTGTAAAGACCCCAACTTTCCGAAGAGCGACTTTATATGTTTGTGAGATCAGCCTGCTCAGCACCCATGGTGAACAAACCACAACCAAGAAAAACTCCATGCCCACCTAAAACGCATACTTCCTCGCCTCGGAACACAATCTCGCCACTCATGGGAATCCACATCAGCCTCGCTTAGGAGACCAAAAGTCCCCAGCTTGAAACCTTTAAAAGAAAAACACATTTCTCCAGTTTTCCTCATTTTTCCTGCTTGGGGGCACCTTCCTCCACGGTCCGGTGGGATTTTGGACCAAGTCACGATCTGAATGAAGGGCGCCATGTTGTAGCGCTGCACGTTGATCGTTGACGTGGCCACTCGCGAGGCGATGTCCCTCGGTAGACGCGACCCGGTTTTCCAATCTCAACACCACCTGGAGAGTGCTACACAAAATAGGATACAAAAGATAGACCCTTTTTGGTGCTCATCGGTGGGCACCGTCTTTGTTCATAGTGTCCTTTTAGGGTGAGCAGGGGGTTCGCACGATGGACAAATTCGTCTTAAATCCAAATTGCTTTGCTTGGGACTTTGTTGGTTGATGGATGGTTCCCATCAAGCATAGTTGGCAGGAACTGGTTGTGCTTCTCACTGGGCGGAGGGATCAAGCATGACTTGAACCGGTAGGCCAGGCCCAAACTGCAGGTGCCTGTTTCACTGGGTCAGGATCAAGATGCACGGAGCTGATTGGCACGCTGGGCACTAGTATAGTAGTTATAAGCACCCGACATGTGTGCGAACTCTGCAGGTGGAACATGGTGAAACTGCCGCCCAATGGAGTTTTGTTGGTAGACTCCTGTCACTTGCTGCCTAGCTTTATTCTTACTGCACCACTTTGCCGCCCTAAGGCTGGTGCATGTATGGCTCCTTGGGGTCGTAGGAGACGCGGATGGGCCTCACAGGAAGTTCACTGAGCGACCGTTTAGTCGCATCATGTCGCATCAGCTTGAGGTCATGGATAGATCGACCTTGGCCAACTGCCAACTAAACACCAACGTCGTGGTTGGGGGAAGTTATCTTCCAAACCACTCCACTGATCTCCAGTGTGTGAGTTGCTAGGTCAAGACGGAGCCGTCGGGGTGCCAAGCAAATTGGAAGCATGGAAGGAATGAGAGAGAGAGAGAGGGAGAGAGAGAGAGAGAGCGCGCGAATAGTTTGTCAATCTTCCCACACCCCTTTCACCAGGAGCAGAGGACAGGTTGGTCACCTTCACTTCGAGGGAAGCAACTGCTAAGCAAGTCACATCAATCTTCCTTTGGGCTGTTGAATTCCCAATCCATGGTAGCTCTCTCCCTCTCTCTCTTCACTAGGCTCCTGCCCTTCTGCCCAGTGCATTTCCAGGTCAAACCGTGAGCGGAAGCCTAGGGAAGTAGTTCTACCAAAAGCCTCGAAACCATCCACGACCTGCCTAACGGGCCTAACGGCCTACGTTTGCTCTCGTTGGGTGAGCATGTCCCTCCTTTATGATCTTTACTGGCCTGCTGTCCACACAGTAACAACGATTGAGATCAGCTCAGGCACCCCAGGGTGATCAGCCAAGTTTGCTCAGCACCCGGGCAGCATGTTCAGGAAGTTTCCGATGAGGTTCGCCACCGCCTGCGGTGTCGAAACCACGGAGACACGGTGTGTAAAAAATCTGTGCGCCGGTCGGTCAGATGACTGATTTAGATGCAATCTAAATGGGAAAAAAACGCCGCTCCCTTGAGACAGCTTGTTCCAAACTTCTACTCAAGGCCTGACGCAGATCTAAATCATCTATACAACTCATAGAGCTGCTCATGTGCCCGATCCCATTCTGCCCCTTCTCATTATTTCTTGCATGTTTCCCTACTTACTGTCAGGGTCTCTGTCTTGATTGATTTATATATGTATATATACGGTGTACCATGGGACGATGATGAAAATTACCTGGGCATAACGGCTCTGATCTCCAACTGCTCCTAGGACTGTCATATCTGGATTTGCCAATGCATGGCCCCACGTAAGCGTAGCCAGTGCGCCAATGAACTACAGTCTATCCGGGTGACATGCATGAAAATCCCCTCGCGTTCATCACATCCCCGCATGTTCTACCCAAATGCCGTTCTGTAAGTCGGCCATCCATGCCGCCCTTCGCTTCGCATCGGCCCTTCGCTTCGGTCCGGCAGGCTCCGCAACGCGAAGGCGGTGGCCATCTGGACCGGAGGCGAGCGAGCGCGGCCAGAGGATTGAAATGTGTAGACTCCGATCTGAATCTGATCTGGTGCTAAGGGCTCATGAAGTTTGGAGGAATTTCCGAGGTGGTCCAGTTTGGGGGCCTATTCCTTGTCCTAACAAAGTATGTTTGATTATGGGAGTGCACGTGGATGTTCCCAACAGCTGGCACCATGCTTCTTGAAATGCATCGACAGGTTCCAGAACCTTGCAACATTAACATCTTTCGACAAAGAGGGCAGGAGCAATGAGAAGTTGGAAGAACTCGGCCAAGCTGGTGGCAAAACTTGTGTCTTGTCCCTGCAAGGAAAGATGTCAAAAGGAAACGTCCTAGTTAGCCATGATGCGATTGGCCGTGGAAAGGCCATATAGGGAGGTTGTTTGTCATCAGCCTTTGCCTTGCCAGGGACTGAGTCTAGTCGATATTTAAAGCCAGCTTGGCATCAAAACCCATGGCTTGAAGGGAAACTTCCTGATCCATGGTCCATCTTCATCGATTTCAAAGGTATAGTTACCAGGAAATCAGCCCACATCTGTTGAGTTGGCACGAGCCCCTAGGCAAACCTCTTCCTCCAGACAGCGCCTTGGAGGTCAGTGCTGTGTTTCCTTCCATTTTGCCTCATGCTGTAACTCCGAGTCCACCTTCAACTGAAGAGTCTCCACTGCAAAAAACTCAAACTTCTTTAAAATTGAAACCTCCGTCTGCTGCAGCCATCTGCAGGGTACTGTACTTCTACTCGCTGACAAAGCGAGTGCATTCTCAGGGCTCTTCCCTGTACTCAACTGAAGCAATACAATGAACCCAAGTCTAGGGAAGTCTGCCACAGTGAAAGGACAAGCAAGGAGTTCTGGCTCTGTCGAAATGCAAATGACCTGGAGTGCGCCTTAAGCGCTGTGCCAAGGATTTCCTTCCCACTGCTTTTCACAATTTCAGTGTAGTTTCACCGGTTCAGCCCTCGACTGTGCCATTTGAAGGGCTGCTTCCTTGAGATCAAGGACGATGTGTCCTGCCGGTGCAGTTTGGTGCCCCGATCTCCTCAATGCCCTCCAAAACCACCGGCCGTGCCCGTCGCCGTTCGGGATGCAATTTGGTCACGTGCAACCTCAAGCGCCGTTTCGGGATGCTTTTCGGACATCTATGTGCGCACGCAAAGCCACACAGCTTGTCGACACCCAAGACCCCGGTTCTCTCCTCCCTTCTCGATTCTGGACCTGGCGGCTCAACAATAAAACATGCCAAAAGTCGATCAGGTCAAGCCACCAGACCTTCGGCTCTGTGCCGGCCCTCTTGATGAAAGCCTCTTCTGCCATGAGCCGCCCGCTTCCAGGCCACTCCAAGGTCATTCGCTTTATGACTTTGGGTTGGATCCTCCTCACTTGTCCAAGTCAAATATATAATTATGCGACTCTAAATTTACAATGCAAATCATCTGAGGTTATCTTCTCATCTCTTGTTCAACCCATCCATCAAGGGAGCTGCCCGGCGATTGATTTCATTTACTGATCGGTTGACTGCAAGTCTTTTCCCAATGCCAAATGTTATGTCGGATGTTGGTCATTAATCCCCCCCGAATGGAGATCATTGAACATCCTGAATCTGATACTCTGGAAATATCTTGAATGCTGTGTTGGCGGCTTGGAAATCAAGGTCCGACATGACTACTGGGACTGACCTGGCACAACCGGTCTGCTAGCTGAGCATCGGATCATGCGAGGCCCTCTCTGCAAATCTCACCACGCTGGATCGCATCTTCTCCCAATCTGTAGGCTTCACCATCTTTCGCAAGCTGGGCATACCAGACTGCAAGGCTGTGGCAATGTCGGCGGGCTCCTCATCACGCCGATACCTCAAATGCGCCTGAAGACAATGGAAACATACGAAAACGATGCTTCACTTCGGGAGTTCTTCCTCCATCATCTCATGTCACATATGTCTACAGCCACTTGCTAGCTATTTTCACCACCTCCGGAATGCCCAATGCACCCCCACCTCTTCCACATCTTGCGGTTCGGTCTCTGCATTGATCAGCAACGTCATCTCACAAAGTTCTCGACATGTCTCCAAGTTCGAAGCTCTGCTGCTCCCCGAGGCAGAAGCCGTGTCGGGCGGTCGGCACTGCAAAGGGCTGATGCCTTGCACCGGCTGCGTCTTGTGGCATTAAGATAAATATATATATATATATACACACTAATAGGAACAAAAAGCTACTAGGGGCTGGCCTTACCACTAGGAGCAAGGACGCTACTAGGGGCTCCTGGCATCGCTACTAGGAGCATTCTTACTACTAGGAGCCATACACACAATATTATGATGTTAAATCAAGAAGGATCAAAGGGTGACCCAGCACAGGACAAGCGACGATGCAGGAGTTCTGCAGGAATAGAACCTTCTCCAGCTTCCGGCTGTGGACGCGATTCAGTGTCCTGTCTCGGTGAACAATAACTCCCTTGCAGTGGGTGGTTGTTTCATTTGTAGAGGTTGCCCTCCGACTCACTAATCACTAGTCGCCCCGCGCCATGCCACAACATGACGCTTCCATCATTCCCTGTGCCAAGGGATTGGCACGGATGCCAGTGGAAAGGTGGTTGTGGTTGTTCTGGCCTGGGCCCTGTAACGATTGTGCTGCACCTTGTCCATCAGCATGAAGTTTGATTGTACGACTCTTAGGGTGCTTCATGACAGGGTCAAGAGGTTTGTCTTGAGGGGTCGCTTGCAAGCTGACGACCACCAAGGTACATACCTATATACAACCCCAAGGCTGGCAAACTTACATCATAATGTAATCTATATTATATATATATATGTGTGTGTGTGCAATCTAAATGTGTAATGCTGCATCTCACCACCATGCGGGTGGATCACAACAGACTCAAAGGCTCTCCTATTTCAAGACATACCTCTATGATTGCAAATCATCAAAAGAATTGCCCCTACTAAAAGGCAACGATTCTTGATTCTGTAAGCTGCAATGAGCCAACTCAAGCATTTGATCAAGCTGTTCAGACAGCCTCCTTGAAGGCGATGAGGTGATGTGGTTCGCTGGCGCCGAATAGCCCTGGCACCGGCACATGGTAGACATCTGCCGCCACTCGGATGCCCGCCGATCCACGGAAAGAGACCCGTGAGCAAAAAGGAGGAGCTGAATGCCTGCAATCTTGGCTTCTGGTGTCTGAACAAGGTGGAACTTCATCAGATCTCTACTTGAAAGAAGGCTTAAACCGCAGGAAAGCATCAATCCTGGCTGTCTGTGACGAGTACTCAGTATGAGATTGGTTTTCAGAAAAAAAAAACTACGGACGTCAAACAGCTATATAGTTGTGCTCAAGAGATTGTGATCGTCGTATGGGCTGCATCTCGCTCAGGACTTGAAAGCTGATGACCGGGCAAGCCACACTATCATAAGCATTCCAAGATGCTTGGATTCGGGCAAGCCAAATGCGTTGGTGGAGGAGTCTACAAATTCGTCAAAGCGAGCGCGTTCCTCATCCGCCAACAACTGCCCAAAGCACCTCCCTTTGAGGCTCCTCATTTGTCCCAATCAGGTGGGGTCACAAGCAATTCCGTATATAAACACAACAGTCTATTGAACTCTGTAGCGGGGGCAGCTGCACACCAACTGGAAAGCCAAGGACAATAGAAAGCTTGTTGGACAGCTAAGGTCAGGGTTCACATCAGTCAAAATCAAGTGTTTCAAGCATTCACTTTCCTGGGCGATTGTCCTCAGTAACAGTAAGGCGCTGATCGCGAAACCGGCGTTGTGGAGAGTGGGACGTTGTGGAGGCGTTGTGGAGGCCCATGCCAGTCTTACGGTCCTTGACACAAATGCAGTCAGCTCCAATTGTTTACAAAGGATTGAACCTTCACCAATCCTCTATCATGTGGTCTAACTGCCAAGTTTCTTCCCCTTCTCAAACAGTAACACATTCCCTAGAAACCTGTCGGTCATGCTGGTTTCTTGTTGGCTCATGCCAGTCCTTTATGTGGAGATTCAGCCTAAACACATTGACCAGGAAGGCCCTTGGTCCTGAACAATAGGTTTGCCTAATGGGTTCTCAATTGTGGAAAGTTACATCCGCAGGCATGTCCTTTCCTGAGATCTCAACACTACCAAGCCAACTCCAAGCTTGATGAGACAACGGTAATGACAAGTTTCTCTAGTTTTTCTGCATAACTGAGAGCTTGCCAAAGCAACCAATTCCTTCACCAATCCTGTATGTGAAGATTGCTCCTAAACAAATGACCGGGAAGGCCCCTGATCCTGAACAATAGGTTTGTCTAAAGTCTAGTGGGCTCTCACTTGTGAATATTGTCAGGGAAAGCACTTTCGTGCCTGGGGTCTTAATACTACTAAGCCAATGGCTGGGTTGCTGAGATAATTGGCCATTACAACTTGTGTCGACTTCTTGCCAGCTCCCCAAGGCCATCAATTCCTTATCAGTCCTGTATTTGAAGGTTGCTCCTAAACAAATTTTCAAGGTAGTAGACCAGGAAGGCACCTGGTCCTGAAAAATAGTTTTGTCTAATGGGTCTCATGGGTTCTCATCAATTGTGACAAGTCTTTTTTGACCAAATAATCCCTTTTCATATAAGTTTCTCTAATTCTTGGCAGCTTCCCAAAGTTATCAACTCTTTTTGAGAGCCGGTGTTGCTGGGGATGTGGATTTAAGAAAAAAAATGCTACAAACCACAGTGTTTCTTGCCTTGGGAGTGCTGGGAGCTAGGTAACAACACTGTCTTTGAATAGGCAAACAGATTTTGAAAAGCAATCTCTAGGAATGATCACTTCCAGCTTTAAAGCAAAAAAGAAACTTTTTAGAAAAACTTTTGCTTCAAAGGTGTCTCTCCAAATCTCTGGGAACAATCACTTCTATATTGAAAAGCTATATGTACATGTTTGTTTTTCAAAAGCTGTCCTCTAGATCTCTGGGGATGATCACGTCTATATTCAAAAAAATGTCACTTCGAGTTCAGCATGTCCATGCTCTAATGCCAACTTCAGCTCTTCATTCATCAGGTTTTACCCAAGCAACAACTCATGATTCATGAGCTTACAAGCTTTGAGAGGGTCTTTTGACCCTGAACTTGGCTTGTCCGTTGTTGTTGTCCTCGAAACGTATCCGCACCGCATGCTCAGCTACACAAAACACCTCACCTTGGCACCCATACTTGCTAATGTTTGCCTGCCCTGTAGCTGGACCAAAGTAATTGGATGAGGTTCTTAATAGTGAATGCCATCGTTTATGAATCTAAAATGAGCCCCCTCACGGATTTTGCAGGATGAATGGACTCCTAGGTGGGCGCAAAGGCCAACCATGGAAGGAGGAGGTATGACTGCGAAGGTGGCGGCCAGCATCACCATCTCAGCACCATCTGCTTAGAGGCTTTGACCTACGCAACAGTGGCCACTCCCCTCCAGGCCGAGACTCATGTGACTGTCCAGCAGCACCTCACCATCGCACAGTCCCCGCAAGACCCGCCGGAAGCCGCAAATTAAGGACTCCGCGTCTGCAGTGTCGAGCATCGCATAGATCCGCTCGCGCAGGACCATGTCAATGAAAATCGAGGAGATCACACCCACCATGAAGATGAAAACTTCACCGAAGCACAGCAAACCTGGGATTTCTGCTAGGGCCACGGCTAAGAAGCCTTTTTGCCTGGCTTGTCAAGGTTATGATATAGTATGAAAAGTCGTGACACCCACGTGTGAAAAGGCTTCAAAAGCTGCGCGTCCTTTTGAGCCTGCATCTTGAGCCACAGGCGGTCGTTCATGCCTGTGTGACAGTCAAACCTGCTGGACGGATTGAAGGGGCAACTGCATGAGATGTGGTCGCTAGCGGGTCAACATGTTCCATTTCACACCCATATTCTTTCTTGGCCCTCAATCCATCCAAAGTCGGTGACATGTCGACTTCAAAGCCATCCATCAGCCTCTTTAGGCCGTCGTGCTTCATCCCTTTTGTCAAAGGGTCCGCGAGCATCTTGTCGGTCGAGGTCCAGGTGAGCTTTGTCGTTCCGGCCTCTGGAAGCCGGTCAGTGGCCAAAGGATCTCCAACTTCCTCTTCTGGAAGTCTCCAAAGGCTTTGGCGCAAGCCGCACATGTCGATGGCCAATCGCTTGTCGCTGACAATGTGGAGGCCAGCCTGGTTTCCATGGTCGTGGAGCGACCTGCAGTCCGTCACCCACTCCACCAGCACTGAGTCCATCGCACGAACTTGCCACCGAGGGACAGTGCAATGAGGGTGTAGAAGACCATATAGCACGAACCTCAAGTGATCGGCTTCTTCGCTTCCAGCTAGGAGGCTTAAGGCTTCAGCTTGCAGCGTCGACCTGCAAACCCTCTTCAGCACCGTTGAGTGCCACTCGATCAGCGCCAGCTGTCCTTTCTTGGACTTGTGGAAGTCCGGGCTCGCGAGGCAAAGGAGTCGGCCGCTTTGACTTCTGTGTCCCATCTTTGCTCCTGACGAGCTAGCTTCAAAGTCAGCTGCATGACTGGCATCTTGAATTGCCAGGATCATCGCCTTCTCAAACTCAAAGGCCTTGATGGGGTAGTTCAGGCCAAAGCTCTTGGTCCTCTGGGCCAATGCCACAATGGAGTTGGCATACTTCACATCACCAAAGGTGGCCGAGTGCACGCTCATCTGCATGCGGCACACTGCATAGGCCAAATCTGGCCTGCAAACACGAGCCAACCATGCCAAGCTGCCGATGATGCTCCTGAGCTGCCCACGAACTGCTTCAGGTACTGGTTGAGCTTCATGACGCTTCTGCTCATGGGTCAACCAAATTGGCCGCACGCGGTCAATCAAGTTGTCGCACTTGACTTGGATGTGCTCAGCAGTCCTGGAGATGTTGCGACCGCAGTAGCGAAACTCATCTTTCTCAACCTTGCCAAAGTTGTAGTGGCTGCACACATCTTTCATCAGATCTTCAATGACCTGTCCTCCAGTCCATAGCAGGTCGTCAACGTGAGTGACCAACAGACCTGCCAGTCCAGATTGCCCATCCAACAAAGTGTAGGCTCCTGGCTCATAGGGAACTGGATGGAATCCTTTCTTCTTCAAAGTGCTGTCCAGGTTCTTCCACCAACCACGAGGTGCATCCTTCGTGCCATAGACGGTGGAGGAAACGATGTAGTACATGTTGGGTGCAACTCCTGGAACTCCATCTTTGGGAAGACTCAAAATCAAAACACGATCCAACTTGCTGCCCTGCAGAAAGGCAGCGGAGATGTCACCAGACCACAGGGTTGTGTCTCGACAAGCTGCCAAGGTGAGCACCAGTGAGATCATGGTCTGGCTGCACGTGGGCGAGTCGCAGCGCATCAAGCTGCTGTCTTCAAGATCACCTCGCACCACCAGTCTTGACTTCAGCTTTTCTTCTTCTCCAATCTCGCTCTTGTTGACGTCCACCCATCGAGTTGGAATGATCTTCAACTCCGGGTTCTGAGCGATCATGTGCACCACTTCCTCTTCTGGGACCAGCTTGCCATCGCTGTAGAACTTCCAGTTGTGCCATTCTTTCTCCCGAGTGGCCAAAAGCTTCTTCTGCATCTCGGGAGTCTCTTTGGAAAAATTCAGCTCACGGCCTGCTCCGACCTTTTGTGTCTTCTTCTTGTACTTGCGCTCGGTCTTGTTCGCAAGAAAGCTGTCAGAGGCTGAAGGCTCACGTCGACGGAAAATTCCATCCAAACGATCAGGGCTCTGTCGCAGGGACTGTGTCAAAGGCGTCACCTGCTCGTTGATGATGTTGGAAGGTGCTGCACCTGATGTTGGATGAGTAGAGATGCTTGGTGCCGGAGTAATCTCTGCTTCCGGTTGACTGCTCATTGTTGAAACCCTAGTCATTGTTTCAACTGGTGTCTCAACACCATCTTCCATAGAAGTTGCCATCTCGAGTCCAGGTGGACTCTGGAGAGGTGCTTGGTGAGGTTGTTCAACATGTTGAGGCAACGATGGAAACGTCGATGAAGTTGTTCCTTCATTCATTTCAGCATCTCCGGGGGTAGCAGTCACTCCCGTCTCGCCTTGTCCTGCATTCACCTCTTGGAAGTCCACAAATGGGACTTGCTCACTCGATCCTCCTGGCCCTCCGCGGAAGTTGAGGTCTTCGATGTAGTCGTCCGCAAAAGGGAGTTCATCATCTTCTTGCCAGTCGGTGAGGATCTGTCTTTTCCTTTTCCTCTCAGGCCGCAGTTCAAGAGCATGTCGCTTCAAGACTTCTGCTGTAGTTGCCGGCCTGCATGAGGTCTCTGCCACCAGAATTGCGACACCTGAGTGCAACAGCCAGAGTGAGGATTTTCCTTCATGAGCGAGAACTCTGGCAGGTCCATACCATTTGCCTTTCTTGCTGAAAGAAACCAAATCTCCACAGCGGTATGGGCCCCTCATAGGAATGCTCTTCCGGAGCATGGCTTTGCGCACTCGTTGAGAGGTGTCAAGCTTGATGAAAGCTTCCTTTGCCCATTGACGAATCAGCAGTTGCTTTGCAAAGGAATCTTGTGCTCCCTCTTCGGCATCCAGCAAGCTCTGGTGTAGGCCAAGACTCTGCTCCAAGTCGTTGTTGTTCAGGGAAGTGATGTCCTGAGGTTGATAGCCCATCACCCATTGAGACGGTGAGTAGTCGTGCTGGTTGATGAAGAGATTCTTCACTCTTGCCGATTCTCAGCACAGAGCTGCAATGTCTTCAGCTCCTTTGATCTGTCTTTCATGGATGGCACGTTTCATGATCTCCTTGAGCAATCCTCCATGACGTTCTCCAACTCCAAGTTGATGAGGTGCTCGAGCTCCAGTCTGCCGGATGGTAGTGCCCATCACGGTAAGGAGATGTGCCACTTTTCCTCTATTGTGGACTCCTTGATCTGCCACAAAGAAGGTGGGTGCTCCAGCCCATGCAATCCAGGAGACGTTCAAGGCATCAGCACATGCCTTCGAGCTGGGTGTTCCTCCTCCTGCAACACGAACTGCCACATGGAAGTGTGTGGCCAAATCCACCAATGACAGGATGGAGTGGCGGTGATGCTCACTGTCATGGATCTCAAAGACATCCGCCGAAAGCTCATAGTTGAAGTGCATCTGCGAAGATGGCCTTGTCTCCCTTGTCACACGCGGATGCTGATCTTTCTCCGTCTCCTTGCACACCTGACATTGAAAGAACTTCACTGCATCGATGACATCCTTGTCTGCTGTAGATGCCACCAACATTCTCATCAAAGCAGCATTTGAGCAGTGACCAGTCATGGTGTGAAGACGTCGAACAGCTAACCGCTTTTCTCTTGGAAGGGTGAGCCAGCCTCGCCGCCTCTTTTCTTCTTGTTCCATCACCAGGCGGTCCTCTTTGGTCTCATGCGCTGATTGCTCCAAAAGCATTTCTTCACGTTGAAGTTCAGGTTCATCTATCCTGCGCTTCTTGACCAAAGGTGCCAGGTCTTGTTCTGAATGAATGCCGTCCATGTCGCCCATCTCTTCATGCCTTTCAAAGACCTCCTCCACAGGAAAGGCTTGATGAAGTGTTCCATAGAGCAACTCTTCATAGGCGCCGGACAAAATGGCATGACAAAGCTCTTCTGGCCATTGTTGTGCGAGGCGTGTGCGATTGCTGCCTTCCAACTGCTGATGCTCATGAGATCCATCGCATTGCTTGTTGAGCCTCTTCTTCATGAAGTGCGATGAAAGCATCAGCCCAGTGCTCTTCTTGTGAGGTAGTCCATTCTGAACATCACGAAGTCCATACTGACATTGATCTATCTTCACTACCTCAACGGGCTCGTTGGTCTCCTCATGGAAAGGATTCGAAGCTAGAAAATCTTCGAGACACTTGATTCCCCAGGCTGCACTGGTCCAGGGATGTTCCATCATCACGTGCCTCCCTTTTCTCAAGCGAGACTTGAAGATGTCAATGAGCCACCTGAACACTGGATACCATCTCTGTCGCTCTTCCATCACATAGTTCTCGAGCTCCCGACTCTTGCTGGCGTTGATGTTCTGCCAGGGTGACCAAGGTCCACACTTTGGCCCTGCGATCAGGATAAAGGGATCCATGTGGTCGATGTAGTCACCAATCACCTGACGATTGGAGGGCTTCAGCAGATCATGACCAGGGTCATAGCAGACATCGATGGGTCGTCCAACAGGAAGGCCCCAAGCTGCAGCCATGGTGGTCAGAATGGCCGCTCCAGCAAACAGCTCCATCAGGAAACATCGACATCCAGATGGTAAGAGTCTTCCAGGTCGCCGTAGACCTTGATGATGACGAAGCGTGCCCCATAGTGCAAGGTCTTCCTTGTGCACAGCTTCCGTAGATTCAGTCATCATCTTTCGCTGTCCTCGAGTCATGACCTTTCGAGGTGACTCAGCCAGGTTGACATAGCTCAGCGTGTCCTCCTCTTCAATCGCTGACTTGTCAAGTTGGCTCTCCTGACTCGAGGTGTCCATCGAAGTGCTCTTCTGAGACGAAGTGCAGTTGGACGTCATAGGGCTCGACAATGATGACGTGCTGCTAGGCGAAGTAGCGTCAGTGGCGTTTGAGCTCATGTCCACACTTTCTTCTTCTTGGGCTGAGGAAATCTCTGCCTGGAGTGCAATGTCTGTCTCATCTTCTGTGGAGGGAATGAGACGAATCGCAGGAAGGCCATCACGGTCAACCAACTCCAGGTACTGATTCATGCGCTTGCTGTAGACGGTGTGCTCCTCGGTGTCAATCACCAAGCCAAGTGCCTTCTGAGCTCGGGTGCTGAGCAAAAGAGGTGCTTCACTTCCAGAAAGCTCAGTGGATGTGATGGTGCCAGAAGCAATGTCTCCGTTCTTGAGTGCAAAGAGGACAGGAATGCGACGAAGTCCAACCACTTGCACATTGCCTCCAACTCCACGGACTCGACCTTCATGAGGCAACAACTCAAAGTGCTGTCCAGTCAGCCGCATGTAGTCCTTGATCCATCCAGCACCGTGGCAAGTGCTATTGCATCCAGTGTCAAGGATGCAGAGGAGCTTGTCTTCTCCTGAGGCATGGCCATGGAGTGCCATCATGGCCGCTTGACCTCTCACCTTGATGTACCTGACATACTCAAGGAGTTGCGGGTTCTTGATCTTGTTGGCTTTGACTTGGCCAAGCAGGTAGGTGCCATAGGAGTGTTCCGTCTCAGCGATCATGCGGAAGGTCTTGCCTTTGTGCTGACCAGTCGTCATTTTCTCAGCATCCCATGCTTCGATATCTTGGACCAAAACATCGCGTGGTCCCAAAGTCGGATCACCCGGTGTCGAAGGTGCCGAACTGGCAGATCCTCTGGTGTTCGGAGTGTGGAACTCCTGAGCTGACATAGGCCTCGGTGGCGTGGACAGAACATGAGGTGATGCCGCTGCCGTTGAAGTCCTCGGGACTGTTGGTGCTCCATAGATCGTGTCCTTGCAGCGACGGTAGATCACGTCCAAGTCGTCCCCCGTGACCACATTGTGAGTCTGCCTCTGGATGCTGATGGTCAAGGTCATCAACTCAAGCACTTTGGATGGTGGATCATCCAAATACCAATCTGCGACAGCTCCAACTCGGAGAGGTGCAATGTCAGCTGCCTTGGCACCAGTCTCACCAGGATTCTTGAATCCAGACGCGGTCTCTCCGCAATCCATGCATCGCCAGCGCCAAGTCGTGGCTGTGGTGCCTTGGTAGTTCTTGCGAGCATGAGTGCAAGAAGTCACCTCTTTTGTTTCCATGCTCTTGGCAGCATTCTTCTTCTCGAGGTGGGGGATGTAGCCGCAGTCCTTGCATCGGATGATGCTCTGGTAGGCGTTGGAGCCAGCCTTGGTGCGATTGGGATGATGGCAAGATCTCTGCTTCAAACTTGTTTCTTGAGCAGGAGGGTTCATAGTGAACCTGCTCATCTGGTCAGGATCTCCATCTCGCAGCATTGCAGCGGTCCGTGCTTGCTGACTTCCAGGCTGAGGTTCAGGTTGCTCTGCAAATGGTAGCGGAGGAACTTCAGGAAGATGATACTCATAGCCTGAAGGGGAAGTCATACTTGGCAATCCAGTCATACTTGCTGGCACGGTCATGCCCACAAAAGATGACATACTCGGCGCTGAGGGTGCTAAGCCCGACACCGAAGGCATAGACCATGATGAAGTGCTGACCACAGAAGCAGCATCTCCCTGGCCTTGCAATGCGAGCTCTTGGACCTCCCAGTCAACATCTTCTGGGATAGGCTGATTGTGGCCGTCAGTCAAACGTTGGGCCTGTTGCTGCTGCTGCACACGTGCCTGCTGGATTGCGAGATCCAGCATCTGATCCGCTGTGAGCTCGGTTGAGGCTCCATGAAGAACACCTGAGTGCAGAGATGACGGAGGTGGAACATTGCCAAACTCGTTCACGGCCATGAAAGAAGCCTGGGCCTCCAAGTCAATCTCCGGGTCCTCATACTCAGCAACGGTGAAGTACACGACACGTGGTTTGGCTCCCTTCGAGCCTTTCTTGCCTCCAGTAGCTGTCGTGGCTGTCGTAGTGCCGGTCATAGCGGTGGGTGACTTGCCACCCTTGCCGGTCTTGCTTCCAGGATGCTTCGGGCAGACATAGTCAGTGCTCCAATGACCCATCTGGCCACAGCGACGGCATGTGGTCTTCTTCTTCAACTCTTCAAGCGCTCTTCGACGCTCAGGGTTGTTGGAGCTCTTGCCCTTGCCCTTGTTCCAATGGCGATTGCTCTTGCCACCGGAGAAGCCTGTGTGCCCCTGACTCTGGGCCTTGTTGTGAAGGAACATGGCTTCTGCTTCAAGCTGGATCACCTCGATGGCATAGTCCACAGCTTCTGAGTTGCTCTCATCCAAACCTTCTTCAACCAGGGCCGCATAGGACTCAAAGGCGAAGTCGGCCTCCTCAGCTGTGGATTCGAACTCCCAGTCCTCGGCTGCACCAGTGTAGAATGATGCTGAGGGCTGGTCATACTCTTCAAAGCCACCAAGGGATTGGGATCCTTCATCCCAAGCTTCTTCAGCCACATAGCTCTGCTGCTGGAAGGGCGTCGACCATGTGTGGTAGGATCGGGACTTTCCTTTTCCACGGCCGAACTTGCTGGAGTAGCGCTCTTGCTCATGACGGTGGCGAACTTCTCCTTCATGAACGTGAGGATGTTGAGCAATGAGTTCATTGCACACCTTGGTAACCGTCATGTCGCCTCCAAGAGCCGTGCGGATCAGTAGCTGGTGATCCGCTGAGATGCCAGCCGACATCAGGACCTGCTCCGAGAGGATGGCCTCTGGCAAGGCGAGCTTGTCATCAAGATCACAAAGCATCTTGTACCAGGTCCGCCTCCTGAGGAGATAGGAGGTCATCGGCTCTCCGTATTGCCTGCTCAAGGGGCCATGGACTTGAGCTCCTGCGGCATAGAGTTCACGAGCTTCTTGTTGTCGTCGTGGTCGAAAGGCCTGGTAGAGGTGTTGAAGCAAGACTTCATGACCATTCTCACCAGCCAACTTCGTGAGCTCGATCTCTCGGACCACTTGGATGGCTGCACCTGTCAAGCCATCAACTAGGCGCAATCCCAACGGTCCTTGCTTCTTGAGCTCTGCCGGGTCCAAAGCCGCATCGCGAGCAGCTCGAAGGCGAACTCTAAAGGCGTACTCCTGCAAGGCAGCTGGTGATCCATCGAACTTTGGAACACCTTTGCCTTCTGTCCCACTCATGAGGTTCTCAGCCTCCTGGAACCGATGCCATCGAAGGCATTCGAGCGCCGCCATCACGCCCCGACGCAAAGGCCAAAAAAGAAGGTGCCCCCAAACGGAAAACAGTGGGTCTGCCGAAGGGTCCCTGGGGAGTGCTAAGCTCCGGTGCCAATATGAAAAGTCGTGACACCCACGTGTGAAAAGGCTTCAAAAGCTGCGCGTCCTTTTGAGCCTGCATCTTGAGCCACAGGCGGTCGTTCATGCCTGTGTGACAGTCAAACCTGCTGGACGGATTGAAGGGGCAACTGCATGAGATGTGGTCGCTAGCGGGTCAACATGTTCCATTTCACAATAGTTATATATATATATATAGGGCTGGGCCTACAAGGATCCGATCCAGAGACCCAGATCCCTGTCTGCACTCACCTACTAGGAGCTACCATGCTGAAATCCATCCACTCTCAGCCACCGCAAGGGTGTGTGGAAGATGGTTCATGTTGGGAGGTTTGTTTGTTTTTTTTGGGACGGTCTATGGAGTCATGAGACCACCCACCAAGCACTTGTCTTGCGAATTGCTTTAGCCCACAGCAGTCAGTTAGTTTGTCATATCTACGCGGGGCCCCTTCACACAGAGTCCGTGGGCTATCATTTCTTCACGGGGGTGTGTGTTTGTGTGGATATCATGCACGCAACCACTGTCACAACTACAAGCACGGGATGGTGTGTTCAGGCATGTCTAAGTCTCTCTTTCCCAAGGTCTGTCTGGTCCCATGGTCCATGGCCCTTACATGCCAAAGGGCCCACAGGCACCTTCGAGCCGAAGACCACCAGGTAGGCCAGAACTTCTGCGATGGTGAAGAGCAACTGGAAAGGGACAGAGGTCCAGGGGTCGAGCAATCCGAAGATTAGGACAAAGCGTATAGTTGTATAAAAGCCTTGCTTGAAGGCAAAATGGCACAAGTCCAACGACCCCGAGATTGCAGCGTTCGCAGCTGTGGCCGCCTCACTGGAGTAAATAGTCAGCAACATCCCATGCAAGAAGTAGCTCAAGAACGTCAGCCGTCGTGGGGTCAAGTCCACCCACGCACCCCCCACCAGCAAGTGCTGCAGATAGCCCACGCCCCAACAAATGGCTGGGCAAATCGTGTTGAAGCGCGGGGCAGCGATGGCGTCGTGGATGAGAACAAAAATCACCACCATGCTCAAGTGAGAAAACCACCGAGTCAGCAACCTTGCAGCGTCGTTCTCGCGACGGGGGCGCGAGGTTGAAACTCACCAACCACCGCGCCGGTGGGCTTTTCCAAAACCCAGAAACCCACCGAACCGAGAAATGATGCACAACTGATAGCTGACGAATGCGAACCTCCCACTGCAAGAGGCTTACAAGTTTGGTGATTCGGGGCGTTGGCCAGTTCCCAGTCAGTTGTGTGTGTGTAACCCACTCTTACACGCGGCTGACGAGTTTAGTTGAACTCTATCGACTTTTGAGAGTAGGGGGGGCGTCCAGGCAGTTGTGAGTTGGCCCTGGAACAACGAAGACGGACTCACAACTGGTGAAGCGAGAAGGGACGCCTTCTTGTGTACCTGCCATTTTAACTCACCGTAAAGGGCTAATGCATTGATCGATGGTGTCGCCGACTTTGCTTGGTTTATCGAGTTTTCAAGGACACCAACTTAGGAGGTTCTGGGCTTTGTCATCATCCTAACGTTCCTACTTCAAGACTCATTCCCCAGTGTGTAGAGGGTGCATGCCAGAATTGGCGACACCGTCGAGACCCTTCGTGGGACTCTATAGCTGGCACGGGCCTTCCCGAGAGAAGACATTGGTCCTCATTTTGGAGGTTCCAGAACTTTGCACACCAATGCGGTGCCGGATAGTTGCTCACAAGCGGAATACACAGTCTTCAGACAGACTGTTCTTAGCTGCAATCAAGCGCAGTTGCAGAGCGGCAGAAGCTGCCATCGAGCGCAGTTGCAAAGCGACAGAAGTCAATTCGATTTGATTTAGTGCTTTGCACTCTTTGCCCGGACCTCAAGCTCAGTGTACCAACTAAAACAGATAGTTTTACTTATGTTTATCTTATGTCTCTTTATGCTTCTTGTCACCAACCTACTAGCGATGGCCCCTTAACCTGCCTTCGACGGCCTCCAACCTAAGAGCAAGGGCCTCCAACCTTGACGGTTTTGCAGTTTTGCAGTTTCGTTTCTTGTCACCAACCTACTAGCGGCCCCTTTACCTGCCTTCGACGGCCTCCAACCTAAGAGCGAGGGCCTCCAACTTTGACGGCTTTGCAGTTTTGCAGTTTCGTTTCTTGTCACCATGCAGATGTGCAACCGCGCTGATCGTTGAGCAGTCATGCATAACCTTTTTTCAACAATACAATTGCGCCGACTCTTTCACCTTTCCGTTCCCTCACCATTTTTGACCTGGGAATTGAGTTAACAGCAAACCAATGTCAGAGTGTGTGTCGACCCTTCCTCACCACATGGAATACGCCAAGGAGAGCAGAACATAGTGAAATGAGCAAACTTGGGAAAACAAGCTCTCAGTCTCTGTCTGTCTCTCTCCTCTCTCTCTCTCTCTCTCTCTGTGTCTATTGATTTGAGGGGATTCTTGTTCTCGGCATTCAAGAATCCAAAACTAGTTCCTTTAATGAACTAACTAATCACAGTTGGCAAAGGACAGCTCCCAGTTCAACTGAGGAACGGGAAAAAACAAACCTCCGAACCTTCCCAAGACTCTCTGCAAAAGCCGTTGCTCTCCCTCTCTGTTTGGCTGTCTAACTGACTGAGCATTTTTGAGAGCTAAACGCATTTCAGCAACTTGTAGTTTCTCTGCCGCACTTTCATCATCTCCTCCTCCACTCGCTGCTCTTTCTGCTGATCCTTTTGCAGTGGCCTCAGCCAGTGGCTGATCCATGTGCAAAGCTGGGGCCAATCCGATTTGGTAATGTGCAAATGCGCGGGGAGCCAAGCCAAGGCGAGAGTTGTCGCGAAAAGAAAGGCATCCATGGCATGGCGAGATGGTGAAACACAAGTGCAAGGCAAGGAAGCAGCTGGAAGAGGGAGAGCGAGTTTAAAATGTAAAAGCCATGTTTGGAAATGGCCCCATTCTGAGAGACACCTCACGGAATGATATATATATATATATACGTTTAAGCCCTTGACCGATTCCATGGCCGACCAAACTGTCAGCCCAGCGGAACCAGCGTGGACGGGTGAGGCCAACGTTGCTTGAGCCACGTGGACGACGTGGACGGGTGCGCTCAAAGTCGCCAAGACAAAGGGCGACAGAGTCAGCTACGAGGGCAACATCCAAAGCCGGTGAGCAGAAGTTTCACGACATGCAAACTACGGGAGCTGTGCTTGGTGAGATGCGTGATGACTTCTCACGTCATGAAGGGTCAAGTGATGATGTCTGCCCTTCCTGAAGGACCCAGCGCCCGTTGGTTTTTGCACCTTGCATGCTGCAACAACTCCGAGTCCGCCCTTTGAGCGGAGAGCCTGCGGCGAAAACTTCAGTTCCGTCTGCCAATCCCTCACTTGAACCGTCTGAAGGTCTGCACAGTGCACCAGCATGTGCAAGTATTCGCGCCCGCTGATACTCAGCCAGTGCAGTCGCAGGACTATTTCTCGTACTCAACTGAAGCAACACACGTCTACGGGAGTCTACCATTGTTCGTGGTTCTTGGTTGAAAGCACCTGCTGGAAAAGGGAATCTGCAGCCTGCAAGTTCAAAAGTTACCTCGAGCACGGCTCAAGTGTGCTGTGCCAAGGATCTCCCTACTTCTTACCATCTCAGTGCAGTGGAAGTCTCACCCACCACTAAATCTGTTCGTCAGTGAATTCGGTAAGGTGTTCAGCCCTGCACTTTGCCAACTGAGGGGCTGCTTCCTTGAGATCAAGGACGATGTGTCCTGCCGGTGCAGTTTGGTGCCCCGATCTCCTCAATGCCCTCCAAAACCACCGGCCGTGCCCATCGCCGTTCGGGATGCAATTTGGTCACGTGCAACCTCAAGCGCCGTTTCGGGATGCTTTTCGGACATCTATGTGCGCACGCAAAGCCACACAGCTTGTCGACACCCAAGACCCCGGTTCTCTCCTCCCTTCTCGATTCTGGACCTGGCGGCTCAACAATAAAACATGCCAAAAGTCGATCAGGTCAAGCCACCAGACCTTCGGCTCTGTGCCGGCCCTCTTGATGAAAGCCTCTTCTGCCATGAGCCGCCCGCTTCCAGGCCACTCCAAGGTCATTCGCTTTATGACTTTGGGTTGGATCCTCCTCACTTGTCCAAGTCAAATATATAATTATGCGACTCTAAATTTACAATGCAAATCATCTGAGGTTATCTTCTCATCTCTTGTTCAACCCATCCATCAAGGGAGCTGCCCGGCGATTGATTTCATTTACTGATCGGTTGACTGCAAGTCTTTTCCCAATGCCAAATGTTATGTCGGATGTTGGTCATTAATCCCCCCGAATGGAGATCATTGAACATCCTGAATCTGATACTCTGGAAATATCTTGAATGCTGTGTTGGCGGCTTGGAAATCAAGGTCCGACATGACTACTGGGACTGACCTGGCACAACCGGTCTGCTAGCTGAGCATCGGATCATGCGAGGCCCTCTCTGCAAAGCTCACCACGCTGGATCGCATCTTCTCCCAATCTGTAGGCTTCACCATCTTTCGCAAGCTGGGCATACCAGACTGCAAGGCTGTGGCAATGTCAGCGGGCTCCTCATCACGCCGATACCTCAAATGCGCCTGAAGACAATGGAAACATACGAAAACGATGCTTCACTTCGGGAGTTCTTCCTCCATCATCTCATGTCACATATGTCTACAGCCACTTGCTAGCTATTTTCACCACCTCCGGAATGCCCAATGCACCCCCACCTCTTCCACATCTTGCAGTTCGGTCTCCGCATTGATCAGCAACGTCATCTCTCGCAGTTCGCGACATGAGTCCGAATTCGAAGCTCTGCTGCTCCCCGAGACAATGGAAGCCGTGTCGGGCGGTCGATACTGCAAAGGGCTGATGCCTGCACCAATGGCTGCTCAATCTTTTGTAGCTTAAAGATGTGCAAGTAGATTCTATATGACACATATTGTTTGTGGTTTTACACTGGACATAATCTATATATCATGAATGATGCACTGAGTTTGCGTCATCTCCAAACCTGGCTGCAAGCAGGTCAAACATGAAAATGCGTTCTCCTCTTCAAGCAAGAAAAATCAAAGGGTGACCCAGCACAGGACAAGCGACGACGCAGGAGTTCTGCAGGAACAGAACCTTCTTCAGCTTCAGGCTGTGGACGCGATTCAGTGTCCTGTCTCAGGGCATCGCAAAGAAGCACTTGTGGCCCAGGGGGGGTGGCGAAAGCTAGGGGACAAGTGGTTGGGGAAGGAGAGAAGGAAAGAAGCGGGGAGAATTGCGTTGAAGTGCAAGTGCACGAATATGTGTGTGGTAGTAGCGTTGGTCTTCACTTGGCACCTCATAGCTTCTTGCTCCGAGTAGCGTCCTTGTTCCTAGTAGTAGAGCCAGGAGCCCTTAGTAGCTTTGTTGCTCCTAATGTGTGTGGTATATTTCTTGGTTCTGCAAACTTGTGCAATACCATCGTAATATCCAAACTGGAAACGTCATGCCTGCACTCGCTTGTAGTGACTTTGCGGCTCCGTGTGCTAGATGGCTTAGGCAAAACCTTGCTCACTCGTGATGCATAATTCCTGAAAAATCAAGAACGGTCATCGTGACCACCAGGATGGCCCCCCTTGAGCATGCAAGGATGCGGCGAAGCACCCCGCCAGGGTCACCGAAGTTGCGAGGCGCACCTCGATTCCTGACCAAGTGTCACCTCACAAACCACGCCTCACCTGAGAGTGTCTATTCGTTGCGTTGCAACAAGTGCAGCAACCCTGAACCGCATGAATGGCATCAACCGTACCATGACAGGAGTTGGGGCAGCGTGACAATAATATAGTTAATATAGGATGCACAAAGGGAAAACTCAACTACTGCCATGCTTCCACCAAACATCACCAAACTCTTCATCACCCGCTTCCCCCACCGAACTCTTCGCTCATGCCCCAACACGTCAGCAGCAACCAGCAAGCAGCCAAAGGCTATCAGCAGCACCAAGCATGCAAGCAGCAAGAGACCAAGCAGCAGCAGGTACTGAGGAGAAGGGTGGAGTTGAACCCGCGGGGGGGGGGTAAAGCCTGATAAATCAGGTATCTGCACTCAGGTCCTCGGCTCCCACCCTCCTTGCTAAAGCAAGACAGACTCCAGCTAGCTACAGCTAGCTTTCGTGATAAATCTATCGTGGGTTGAGATTTTTCTCCCACTCACCAGCCGCTTCCATGTTATTGAGTCAGTGTACGACTTGGGTATTCCCTTTCTCGAACTCGATCCCTCGCAAGTAATGCGCTCAGATCTGACAGTCTCCCCTGACGTATGGTAACGATTGTGCTACATCTGTCCAGCAGCATAAGGTTTGCTGTGTCACAGGATGAGGGCTTTGTCTTGTGGGGCCGTTTGCAACCTCACGACCACCAAGCTACTATGCAATCTATATATGTGCTCTCTATATGTGTAATGCCGCATCTTACCACCATGCGGGTAGATCACAACAAACCCAAAGGCTCTCCTATTTCAAAACATACCTCTATGATTGCAAATCATCAAAAGAATTGCCCCTACTAAAAGGCAACGATTCTTGATTCTGTAAGCTGCAATGAGCCAACTCAAGCATTTGATCAAGCTGTTCAGACAGCCTCCTTGAAGGCGATGAGGTGATGTGGTTCGCTGGCGCCGAATAGCCCTGGCACCGGCACATGGTAGACATCTGCTGCCACTCGGATGCCCGCCGATCCACGGAAAGAGACCCGTGAGCAAAAAGGAGGAGCTGAATGCCTGCAATCTTGGCTTCTGGTGTCTGAACAAGGTGGAACTTCATCAGATCTCTACTTGAAAGAAGGCTTAAACCGCAGGAAAGCATCAAACCAGGCAGTCTGTGACGAGTACTCAGTATGAGATTGACTTTCAAGAATAAAGAACTATGGATGTCAAACAGCTGTTGTGCTCAAGAGATTGTGATCGTCGTATGGGCTGCATCTCGCTCAGGACTTGAAAGCTGATGACCGGGCAAGCCAACTATCATAAGCATTCCAAGATGCTTGGATTCGGGCAAGCCAAATGCTTTGGTGGAGGAGTCTACAAATTCGTCAAAGCGAGTGCGTTCCTCATCCGCCAACAACTGCCCAAAGCACCTCCCTTTGAGGCTCCTCACTTGTCCCAATCAGGTGGGGTCACAAGCAATTCCGTATATAAACACAACAGTCTATTGAACTCGGTAGTGGGGGCAGCTGCACACAAACTGGGAAGCCAAGGACAATAGAAAGCTTGTTGGACAGCTAAGACCAAGGTTCACATCAGTCAAAATCAAGTGTTTCAAGCATTCACTTTCCTGGGCGATTGTCCTCAGTAAAGTGCTGATCGCAAGAGAAACCAGTGGGGCCTCTACATGGTTGCAGGAAGTTTTGAGTTCGAGCTCTGAACTACATACTGTCATGTGGTGTATGTATCTATGCGTGTTTGGCTGCCAGTCAAAGCGCGCGACAACTGTAGAACGAACACAAATGACTCCCTGCCATCCTTATCATGCGTTTCGGTTCAGGCTTTGACCCGCGAAACAGTGGCCACTCCCCTCCAGGCCGAGACTCATGTGACTGTCCAGCAGCACCTCACCATCGCACAGTCCCCGCAAGACCCGCCGGAAGCCGCAAATTAAGGACTCCGCGTCTGCAGTGTCGAGCATCGCATAGATCCGCTCGCGCAGGACCATGTCAATGAAAATCGAGGAGATCACACCCACCATGAAGATGAAAACTTCACCGAAGCACAGCAAACCTGGGACTTCTGCTAGGGCCGCGGCTGACACCGTGAATGTCTTTTTTTGCGTTCGAGGTGGAGTTTCACACTATGTAAAAGCCTCTGAGTTATGGTTTCTTGTCCAGGGATGTCTTTGTGGATGTGAAATGTGCGCAAGCATTGTCACAACTGCAGGTGCGCGATGGTGTTGAGGCGTTTTCAATACCCAAACCTTTGGAACCACTGTGTCGCTGCAGGTTTTTCCCAAGATCCGTCTGGTCCCATGGTCCATGGCCCTTACATGCCAAAGGGCCCACAGGCACCTTCGAGCCGAAGACCACCAGGTAGGTCAGAGCATTTGTGATCGTGAAGAGCAACTGGAAAGGGACAGAGGTCCCGGGGTCGAGGAATGCAAAGATCAGCCAAAAGCGTATGGTGGTGTAAAGGCCCTCCATGAAAGCAAAATGGCACAAGTCCACTGGCCCCGAGACTGGTGCATTCGCAGTTGTGGCCGCCTCGCTTATTTGGATCATGAGCAACATCCCATGCAAGAAGTAGCTCAAGAGCTTCAGCCGTCGTGCGGTTAAGTCCACCCAACCTCCCCCCACCAGCAAGTGCTGCAAATAGCCCAAGAGCCAACAAACAGCCAAGCAAATGGTATTAAAGCCCGGGGCGGCGATGGCATCGTGGAGGAGAACAAAGATCACGAGGCCCAGGTGAGAAAAGCACCGGGTGAGCAACCTCTCAAAGCATGACATTGGAGTGTAACTACCGCTAATGTTGGATCAACATGCTAGGAAACTCACTGGTGAGCAACTGCGGAATGCGGAAAAACAAAGGTGTCTGCCAAATGTTGTGCACATTCTGCCGTTCGAGGAAGGGATCCCGCACCACTTAATTGTGATGCCCCTAGCAGGCCTAACACTGCCAAAAGCCATGATGTTCCCTGCTATATCGAAGTGTTGGACGGAAAAATAAACATCCGCCTGACCCATGTGAGAAGCATGGAACGTGAGCGATGATAAGGGCTTCCACCGGTGGCCACTAGGTGCAAAGGGCAAATGTCAAATTGAAAGTTTGGTGGGTAGTGTGGCGAGGGACACAAGGAAGTAAAACTTGAGAGAGGAGGGGGTGAAAGAAAGGTAGCAGGCAATCACAAGAAACCCTGGTAGAAGTCCATGACGGCGTGAACCGGCGCAGGGGGGATTTGATCCAGGGGGGGCCCTCCCCACGAACAGAATCATCTCTTACAGGACAAAACTCAATGCACAATCCCAACTCCTGATTGTAATACATTTTTGCTAAAGCAAGGAGAACTCAGGTAGCTCAAGCTACCTTTCGTGATGAAGCAAGAAAATATACAGTGTATCTGCAAGGTCTTTTGAACAATGTGTGGTGCGAAAGATCTTTGGGCAAATTGTGAGGCCGGGCCGAGAAAATGTACCAAGTGGACCAAGAGTGTGTATATATATATATAACAGTCAAGTAATGTTCTTCAAAGTATACGTCGAACTGGAAACGCATTGCCTGTGGCCCGTGTTCAGTTCCCCTACCAGTATGGTCCACTCCGTTAGGTTCGGTCGTCCCGCGCGTGCGTGGCACAACTGATCGTTCTTTGACTTCACCTGTGTCATCTGTCCAGGGTATGGGAGAGCAAGCACATTGCAGTGGCGATCCATTGCAGTGGTAGAGGACGCTACGAACGGAGCAAAGGGCATCGCTACGAACGGAGCAAGGACGCTACGAACGGGGCTCCTGGCGATCGCTGCTAGGAGCAAAATGTGTGTCCAAAATGTGGGGCCCAAGAAGATCCAAGGCAGGCTCCAAACACTGTCGGCTACACGGGTCCCAGCCACCCTACTGAGGCGAGCACCAAAACGATCAATTCTTCAGTCTGAGGGCGTAACTTGGTCTGCGTGGAGGTAACCCACCTTTTTGGTCTGCATCGGGGGGTGCCCAAGATGCTTTTGGTGCCAAAATGTTCAACTTGCTTTGAGGTGTGCATGTTGCAAATGAATGACAATATCTTTTGAGCGTTGGAGTGCATGCGGTCCCAACATGCAAGAAGAAAGAAGAAAAACACAAAAACGCCACAAATAAATAACGGATGATCTATATAAAGGCAGGGTCGCAGACACCTTCGCACAATTCAGTGTTTTTGCATGTGTCCTACGCATGTTGACTTCCAAGAATATCAATAGTCACCTTGCTTTGGGCGTCTGAAGACATCAAATTGCGGAAATAGCAACACTTTAGGGTAATTTAGTGTTTTGGGATATCTGATCGGTGCATTTTGGAGCTTAACTCGTCTCAGCCACTTGTAGTTCCTCTGTCGCAGCTTCATCATTTCCTCCTCCACTCGCTGCTCTTTCTGCTGATCCTTATCCAGTGGCTTCAGCCAGTGCCTTATCCATTCGCAAAGCTGTGGCCAATCGGACTTGGTCAGGTGCCAATGCACCGGGAGCCAAGCCCAGGCGAGAGTTGTCACTATTAGAAGGGCATCCATGGCGCCAGAATTGTGCCGTGAGGAAGGGGGAAACAGTGGGAAAGGTTGGGACGTGGGAGGCATCTAATCATCTAATCAATATCACATTACATCTACCGGTCCATGAGAATCCATGCCAAACCAGTGGGCCGCTTGAGCCAATTGGTCCACTCGGCATGAGCGATATCAAAAACATGAACGAAACATATCAAACGTATCAAAGCCAGAACCGCCGGGTTGAAACACTGACAACCAGCCTCCGCAGCTACACCCTCTGGGGGGAAGACTATCCAACATTCACCCCATTCTGCCCAAGAACCCCCGCCCCTTGAAGTGTCCATGTTGGCGAACTAGGACTGAGCGCGGCTCGCACGGTCTCCAGCACCAGGACCCTGGCATAAACCACTCGTTGGTTGCTCATCCGCATCAAGGCCAGCCTAGGCGTCTGCATGGCCGGCACAGACTGGCACACATCACACGCCCTAGCCACTTCCAGTCTCGTTCTGCGAGTGTAGCCCATTTCCGACATCAAAGGCACCGCTCCAAAAGTATTGATGTAGTGGTCAATCATGATGGTGGGGCCGGATGCAGGGCTAGGTGGCTTCGTCTGCGAAAGAAGCTCCCAATTTGGATATTTGGGGTAAGACCCCCGATCAATTCGTGCCGAGACTGGCGCTGAGACGGAGCGGCGGGGGTCACAAAGAGCTGCCAATGACCGCAGCCCAAGAGTAAGAGGATCTCAACGCGCTTTTCTGTCTCGAGTCTCTATGTCATGTTCCTGGATAGATAAAGAATATGAAAAAAGATCTCCTAACCGACATTGACATTGAATGTCAAGGCAGCTTACACCGTCCCAAGTAGAAACCGAGCTGTAGAATTCCGAGCCATTCAACCGCTTTTCCAACCACAGCTGGCCTGGCTTCCAAGCCCAGAGTGGCAATTGAAACATCACGAACAAATTGAAGAACCTGGGGTATCTTCCTTGGTCGCCTGATTTTTGTTCATCCTCTCACCTGGCCCCACTGGGCAGTCGTGACGAGAAGTTGCAAATCACGGAGGCAAAAGGTGTGATGCCTGGGCGGCGTGGCAAATCGGAGCTCAACCCGTGCGTGAAAAAGGGGATGCTCGTGCTTGCATGGTGCTTGTTCACATGTCATAGACCCCAACGAACCGAACTCTTGGCTCCTTCATCCCCTCTTGCGGACAAACCTCAAGACCAACCGCGACTTGAGCGGGCACAAACCGACACATGGTCTCTCTGAAAAATGCCGCCGGGGTGATGATAAGAAGTAAACTTGATGGCCCTGCCACCCGTATAATAGGTGGATTATGGTAGGTGTTGGCGGAACCAAGACCCACCTGAACAGCTGCAAGAACACAAATCACCCAAGTGATTTCACACTCACACATGGGTGTCAGATGTTCGCAGGCTATGTCATTACTACTTTACCTGAAAATGTTTCATTGCTCTCTGTAATAAATTTGAGTAAATACAAGAGCCAATTCTGATTAACAGTGGTAGTCCTTCTTCATCGTGTTGTATCCCTTTCAACTGCTTCTTCATGCTCATTGCCTCTGGAGTCGAGTTTGTTTCTTCGGTTCTGCATGAACAAACTGCGGATGTATATAATTCTTGTTCATTCTGGCACTGTCTGGTTGAGTGGGAGGCAACCTGACCTTGGGGGATTTAGCTCGAGCCTTGGAATTGGTTTATTCCTGGACTGGACGGGACAGAACTAAATCGAGATGTATATATATATATATAAAGATGCTTCGCTAGACTGTTTTGTCCGCTTCGCAGCGAGTGAGTC